AGTTTCGTCATAATACTGAAGTCTTTGACGTGAAGAATCCTGTACTCTGGAGCAGTTTCGTCATAATACTGAGTTCTCTGACGTGAAGAATCCTGTACTCTGTAGTAGTTTCGTCATAATACTGCGTTCTTTGACGTGAAGAATCCTGTACTCTAGAGTAGTTTCGTCATAATACTGAGTTCTTTGACGTAAAGAATCCTGTACTCTGGAGTAGTTTCGTCATAATAATGAGTTTTTTGACGTGAAGAAACCTGTACTCTGGAGTAGTTTCGTCATAATACTGAGTTCTTTGACGTGAAGAATCCTGTACTCTGGAGTAGTTTCGTCATAATACTGAGTTCTCACATTAATCTTATATACAGCTTAGCTTGCAATTCCAAGGGATATAATTGTTCACGTCAAAGACTAATAGATCAGAATCAGATATATATTTTTTGCATTTTATAGAAGTATCTGCTCCAGTAGCCAATATGCTTTAAAACTAGTCAATCTTTTCTGAACAGGCATAACAATAAGCGTTATTTGTATATCATTGAATAGAGTTGTTTTTATTACTCTTCAACAACCGAATGTTATTTCTTTTCCTTTACTTTACTGAATGAATTTTCACTTAATAATTTTTGCAAAACCTTTTATTTCGAATTTGTAATTATATGGCACACTTGTCTGTTCCGTGCTGAAAGTGAGCTTTAGCTATATTTCACCAAAATCGCTTCTTTGAAATTAAGAACCTACAGAATATAAAGTAATACTAGGGTTCTCATATTCGCATATTTTAAATGTTTTAGGCTTCATTAAAAAATGGACTTTTTTGTTAGAAAATGGTAGTAGTTGGCATTTGTTTTTAGTGGATAAAACCGTGCTTTTCTATTTGTGCGAAATATAATTAAGCTCCAGATTTTTTGTGCTACTGATTCCTATATTTTATTTCTTTTAAGCTAAAATGAAATTCTCCCATCGCCTGTATTCTAGAGAATGGCTTACTTAATGTGTAATGTCACAATACATTGTTTATCCTTTTGTTACTCAGCAACTAGCCACATCTTCAAGTTTTCTTTTTTAGGAGATAAATTTTATAAGAACTTTGTATAGTAACACATCGAACCTTCACAGAACTGAAGTTGAACTTTAACCTTTTCTTTATCAGTTCACAAAAAATTATACCATCTAAAGTTATAATAAAATGTAAATTCGTTGTTTTGTTCGTGACATGTTTTTAAAATTTTTCTTTAAGATTTTATATTACTTTCCCAAAAGTATGTATGTATTTTATAAATTGATCCTTTTTGTTTTCAGATATTAAGTTTTACCTAGTTTAGAAGATATAAACTGGTTGAGTACAATATATCAAATTGATTTTGAAACCTCGTAACGTCATTATAGTTCATACAACCACGTCCACTCATGGTCTATCCAACTATCATGCACTTTGACACTAACTCCGCAGCGTAGTTTCCATTGCAAAAGGCACCGTCGCAAGTGTTTCATTTCTAAAGAACAATAGTCCTCCCTGCATGCTTTCTATAATCCATCCTGTTTATGAAGGCTACGGTTTCTCTGAGCTAGTTTCGACAGTCCAGTCGTACAGATATCTATATGCACTGAGTCTAGCGACTTGACTTATGGCTTTGTATGGAAACGTATAAATATCTGTATACGACTGTTGAACGAGGGGTGTTACTATAAATTTTATCTTGGTGAACCCATACCTTTTTGGCCTCGTTTTTCTGACGGATATTCTTCTTGATAATATTGCCTGGGACACGTGGTTAGATTGTAAATTTACTTTTATATTATTGTATTCTTACCTGTTACAAGACACCACACTTTGCTTGCCATAGTTTGGATACGACTTATTAGAGGTCCCTTACTGGAAGGACTTGGTTCCTGAAGTTTATCAAAATTCCTTTGTTTCCCAATGCCATTACATACAAGAAATATCATCGTTTTGAAATGTCAAAATTCCCGATCTAACAACACGTCTATGACTCAAACATATTAATATCTTGCGTCGGTAACGCCTGTTAAACAACGTCAAAATGTAATTCTGATGCATTCCGTTCCACCGCGAATTTATACCAACTGTGAGTGTTATGTGACTTGCTGATCTGCTTATTCAAAACCGTTTTAATATAGCATACTCACCCTCTGTATGTATATGATAGGAACTTGGGAACTGCTTTTCAGATTTTAAGATATCTACATAATTTGATATATGTGTGTGTGTGTGCGTGTGTGTATAATAGGAACTTTTTTTTTTACAGATCTTAAGCTACACTTGGTACATAAGTACTGATTTCCAGCTTCATGTATTATCTGCCTTCGTGATTACCTTATTATTCAGGTTAGTTGAAAAAATATTGATTTAGATTAAATACAGTTTTTTCACCAATTATGACTAATTGTTAAATATGTGTTATATTCAAACTAATTAAAGCACATGCGAATGGAATCTAGTTACAACTGAGGTCTTCAATATTAAACCACTCGCTAGTGTTTTTAGCAGCCTAATTTATTTTGAATACGATATTGTGTATAAGGCTTATGAGCAGAATACATTTAATGCTAATTGTGAATGTAGTAAGTGTGTTTTTACGATGTAATGATACATGATTATAAATAATGCGAAATATTTATTCTCAATGTACTTCTGAATGTAATATTTGTAAAAATATGGACACTTCTCAACTTGGTATGCATTTTATATGCATAATTTCTTTTATATTGCTCTAAGATATGGTATGATTGTTTATAAGTTTCATAAAAATAGACTCTCACATTTGTGTCCCATAGTAATTTTAAGAACTTGCAACGCTAAAGTCCGGAGTTCAATTTCCCATAGTGTACACAGCAGTTAGCTCAATATGGCTTTGCTCTAAAATAAAACAAAAGAAAAACTCATACTGGTGTGGACAACTGAACCTCGTCACAAGGAAAATCAAATCCTAATCTGGTAGTAAAACATTTACAAACGTTAATAATTCCAATTAATGTGTTTAAATGTATTTCAGTAGAATGGGAGTTGAACTTGACTAACGAAGTTTATTATTCTCGGTTAAGCTTTGATTGGCTTAGTGGTTAGGGTACTCGCATTGTAGTCTTAGTGGTTAGGGTACTCGCATTGTAGTCTTAGTGGTTAGGGTACTCGCATTGTAGTCTCGTCATCGAACATGCTTGTCATTTCAACAATGGAAACGTTATAATGTGACGGTTAATCCCATTATTCGTTGGTAAAGAATAGCCCAAGAGTAGACGGTGAGTGTTGTTTCTAGCTGCCTTTCTTCTAGTCTATCACTTCAAAATTAGGAAGGGCTAGCGTAGGTAGCCCAAGAGTAGGCGGTGAGTGTTATTTCTAGCTACCTTTCTTCTAGTCTATTACTTCAAAATTAGGAAGGGCTAGCGTAGGTAGCCCTCGAGTAGCTTTGCGCGAAATTAAACAAATTTTGTTTGTATAAAGCATTGGTCACAAAGTTTGTTTTTGATATTCGTGAGTTTATTTAGTTCAGGAGTAACAACAAAATCATTAAGAGTGAAAATTTTCAGAAAACAAATCAGAAACTAAATTCAGTTTTGTAAACAGCTTTTGTCAAACTCTTTAATAAAAATTCTTAAATGCGTACAGTTGAAATTTGATTTTAGGCTTTTAATGAAATAAGATATTTATTTGATACTTATATAGAAATGTCTTGTTTGACATCAAGGAATAGATGTGGAACAAACACGAAGTCTCTTTTCAATCGTGCCCCCCAGTGGCACAGTGGAAATTCTGCGGACTTATAATGCAAGAAACCGGGTTTCGATACCCGTGTTGTGAAGAGCACAGATAGCTTATTGTGTATCTTTGTGCTTAACTACAAACAAAGAAAGAAAGAAGCTTTTTAACTGCGGCAAGACTTAGCTTTGCAAGCACATCTTGAATAAACGGTCATATTAAGACTACCCGAAACACAGACCTCAAATCTGAGCATTTTGTAAACAGCAGCAGGACTGAATACGGGCAGAAAGTTTGCTCACATTCGATTAACAGATTTCCGCTGGTCATTTATCACTTCGACAACTTGAGACCTCATTTCAGTTTTAACTACTCAAAATGATTTGGCTCACGAAAGCAACTAAGTTAATTAAAGTTTTATTTTAGTGTCACTCTGATAAATTTCCAGCATAGTATTCATCTCTTTTAATCCCTTACATATACAGTCCTGTAATATGTCAATATTCACAGGGAAAAATCAAGTTGAACAGTAGATTTTACTATTTAAAAAAAAGAACGCATTTTCCACATGCTTTCAAAGATGATTTTATATTTAATTAACGTAGAAGAATGAGCTTTATTTGTCTTTTTAAGCCCAGCATGACACAGATCAAATCATGACGTGTCTAGTTACATCTCGTTTGCTGACTCATATTGTTTTTTTTAAGATCTTCTTACGTGCTATAGCTTTGTTTGTCTTATCATTCGGCTTTCACTGTTTACAGGCTAGCGAATGTTCGTAAACACATATGTATGTAAGCACTTGTCTTGTTAATGGACTGATGCTTGCAAATATTATAAACTTCGAATTGAAAGTTTAACCTTAACAGAATCTCTGTGATCGCGTGAGTTAAACATCAGGTCAGAGGTCACTATGATTCAGGTATAGCCGTCCATATATAGATGTGGAACGACTGACTAGAGGAAAAACAATCATCCAGCCGAACCCGCAGTCATGAGGGTTTTGTGTTATTATAATGCATTGAAAGAGTTTACTTAGAATTACGAACTTGTTTTTTTTACAATTTACATAAATATACATATATATATATTATTACCTGAAATTCATTGTTTCAAAACGTAAAGAAAAATAAAAATTCAGCTACTTTGAGTCAAATAATATATGATCTGTTTATCAAACGTTCATTGTAAATAATTTTAACTAATACCGAGTTTCAAAATATTATTTCAAACTTCCTTAATATCAAAGTAGTTTTTAATTTTTTTTTTTTATGTTTTATTCTAACAGATCATCCAAGAAGGGGCTGTTAACTATTTTAGTGTTAGTTCTTGTGTCTTCAGCAGTTACTGGTGTTGTCATTGAATACTTCAAGTTACCAGCTGCCAGATACTTTACTGATATTGACTCAAGGTAGGATGTTAATTTAATATACTTCGAACAAATCACTATCTTCGTTTAAATGCAACAAAAATGACCGATTGACAAATGAAGGCTCTAACAATTAATTGGTGGTTCGTGAGACATAGAAATAAATTCCTAGAGTAGCAATGATTATTCAGATAATCTAGAAATAATAGTCAATATTCAAAATAATTTTGCTAATAACAGGGGAATAATCGAACCTGTTTTGTGAATTATCCTGCTGTTACTCTGGTAATAGTGGTAACGGTATAAAGAGTTAGCCCGCTGTTACTCTGGTAATAGTCGTAGTTGTATTAGGGATATCCTGCTGTTATTCTGGTAATAGTCGTAGTTGTATTAGGGATATCCTGCTGTTACTTTGGTAATAGTCGTAGTTGTATTAGGGATATCCTGTTGTTACTCTGGTAATAGTGGTAACGGTATAAAGAGTTAGCCCGCTGTTACTTTGGTAATAGTCGTAGTTGT